GCCCTGACCAGGAAAACCTGAGGCCGCCCACCCGCCAGGTCATCACAATCACCATGGAGGAAGGGCCAGGTCTGCAAGGGGACCACTGGGGATCAGGCCATGGGTGAACCGCAGAGCTGTTCTTTCCTCGCAGACAGCCTCCAAGGATGTCCACACCACTGACAGGTGTGAACACGTGTCGTGGGTAACAGAAATGAAGCCGGCCTGGCTGATTCGGGCTGCGCCCCAGGGTCCTGGGAAGGCTGCCCATCTGGTGCAATCCTGCCCGAGCTGCCCTGCCGACCAGTGGCTCTGCCCTTCCAGGGGACCCCGTGTGCCCTCTGGGGTTGTCCTGCTCGGTGGGCATCCCACCAGGTCACTGTCATATCCCAGGAAGAGACTTCAGGCCAGCTTCAACCCACTGGCCAGGCTGGGCCGTGCGGGAGCTGCCTCCTGAGGCCAGGTAAGACGGCATATGGGGGGACGCCACATGCAGAGAATACAGAACTTGGTGCTTTCTAAGACCTTGATGGTTAATGGGATTCAAGCACCCACTACCCGAGAAAGACATACACAGAGCCTTCTATGCACTAGCCCATACATTCTAACTCCATAAAGCAGACATCATTAACACTAGCTCCTGGCAGAGGAAACTCAGAACAGTGAATTAGTAATACTGCTCAACTGGGAACCTGGCCCTTCTCTCAGGCACCCCTTACAGCTGCTCCACCATCAGGACTATCACTTCCCAGTGGGATGTGGACAAGAGCCAGACGTGTGCTGGGCACAGAAACACCCAGCTGCGCCCTCAGAAACACCCCGCTGCGCCCTCACATTTCCGCTCCTTCTGGTAAATCCCTGGCTCTCATGCAAGACTGTTTTGTTTGAAGACCTTACGTCTGGCTCTGTCATTCAGTAAAGTGTATTTAGGTTATAGTTACAGAGGTCCTCGGACATGCGGGCACCAGGGCTACAGCACTAAAAAAAAAAGCCAAAATTCTGAACAATGTGGCTCTTAAATTCTTTTGGAGGAAAATAATCAGTAAATAAGCAAATCAAATATAAGTACTTGAGGAAAATGTGGCAGAGCAAGGGGGTGTGGAGGGAGATATACAGACACAGAGAGAGGGAAGGAGAGACCCTCCCACGCGTGCGTGCGTGTAGACACTGACATCGATACACGTATATGTGAAGCAGCGGCTGCAGAGCAGAAAAAAAGTAAAATAACCATTCGAGATAAGGCTACAAACTGATACGTAAAAATACACACATGCATGATTACACATAACTATGCACAGCTTCACATAACGCAGCACATTGGTCACAGGTGCAGAGGGGGGCGGGGCCGGTCACTGGCTGCGCACTTCAAGTCTGGCGGGAAAGCCTGTTCCACATTTAGGGCTGAGTTTCAACGCACAGAGGACTTTTTTAAGTATTTCTGTTGTCAGTACATACGTCTCGTGCACATTCCTGCACTGACGTTATCTTACGCAACAGAAAACTCTAAAATCAACTCACGTGATCTACCTGCAGTCACCTTAAGGGCGGCCGGAAACCATTTTGCAGTACTCAACGATCATTCATAAACACGCTTACCACTCCCCAGTGGTAGATGGTAATGTGCGTGACCCGATGAAGGAAAGTCAGTAAGATCATATTCAAAAAAGAACAAAGAACATATAAATGGTATGAAGTTCTGTTTTCTCCAAGACAATTAGGCAGAAGTGAAGTACGCCTGTTGACCTCACTCTCAGGCAACATTATACTAGAAAAAAACCACTTGTGCTAATACCCAACTTGAACGACTGTACCCAGAGAAAACCAACAGAACAGAAAGATAATCGTAGAGTAAGATTCTGAACAAGATCTCAGACTAAAACCTCAATATAAAAATAAATGTCACAACAGCACGATTTACAACAGCCAAGACATGGAAACAACCTAAATGTCCATCGACAGATGACTGGGTAAAGAAGATGTGATATATACACCATGGAATACTACTCAGCCATAAAAAAGAATGAAATAATGCCACTTGCAGCAACATGGACGGGCCTAGAGATTATCACACTAAGTGAAGTAAGTCAGACAGAGAAGGACAAATATATGATATCATTAATATGTGGAATCTAAAAAGAAAAAAAGAGACACAAATGAACTCATTTACAAAACAGAAACAGACTCAAGACATAGAAAACAAACTTATGGTTACCAGGGGTGAAAGAGGGTGGGAAGGGATAAACTGGGATTTCCAGACTTGCAAATACTAACTAGTATATATAAAATAGATAAACAACAAGTTTCTACTGTATGGCACACAGAAGTACATTCAACATCCTGCAGTAACCTATAATGAAAAACAATCTGAAAAGGAATATACATATGTACATGTACGACTGAAACATTACGCTGTACACCAGAAACTGACACAACATTGTCAACTGACTGTACTTCAATAAAAAACATAAATAAAATAAATGCCATTATCTTTCTAATCAATGGCAGCAGTTAGAAAGTTGGAAAATTCACTTTAGGTGGGGAGGGTATAGCTCACTGGTAGAGTACGTGCCTAGCATGCACAAGGTCCTAGGTTCAATCCCTGGTACCCCCATTAAAATTAATAAATAAATAAACCTAATCACCTCCCCCCTGCCAAAAAAAACCTATCAAAATGTTAAAAAAAAAAAAAAGAAAATTCACTTTAAAAAGATAACAGATACCATGGTAAAAACCTAATTTAACTCTTACAAAAATAAGTTTAATTAAGGCTATACAAAGAACCTACTAGAAAATTTTTTAAACATTCAGGATAATAACAAAGCAAAATGAAATAAATGAAAAGATGGCACATATTCTTTAAAATAACTCAGTGTTACCAAGACATCAATTCCCCACCCTCCCAAGACAGGCCTCGAGTCTTAATAAAATACTTTGCAAACCTAGTAAGAACAAATGTCCAAAAACAGCCAAAATATTCTGAAGAGCCAGGCGAGAGCAAGGACTTTAAAGCAGTAGCACTCCCAACACGATGGGCTTGGCAGAGCAGGGACAGCTGGGTCTGGAAAGGAACGGAGCCCGACACAGGCCTGTGTCCACGGGGAGACCCGATTCAGGACAGGGCGGCCACTCCAAGCCCGGCAGAAACAACAAGACACCTCAATACACGGCACAGAACAAACTGGTATCTGAGGAAGCAGCTTGCATTCCCACCTCATCCATGGGCAGTAGTCAACTTATTGCAGATTAAACAAAGTGCCTTGTCGACTGTAAGAAACAACAGTATTATTGCTGTCTCAAGTTAAATAACTGGTATTTTGGGGGATCTTTAAAATGCGCCAATTTCACCACTGTGCTATGGTATTCGCTTCGCAGCCGCACAGGAAGGGGGGGGTCTTCTATTTCCCGGACATTCTTTTCCTCAGGAGGACTTTGGAGGCTAAGCCCTGGAATTCCACTTGTTACCACTCTAAAGAACAGACCTGAGACACTTACTACAAACTGGAGATGAAAAAGAATGTTTAACAAATGGGATGTAAGACATTTTCTTTTTTTCTTTTATTTCTTCCTGAAATTCACCCCTTTGAAAATATGTTATCTTATGCTTCCTGCTGTATTAATTAAATGTATTTTACATTTGCTGAAAATCTGAGGTTCCAGTAACTGAATACATCTTTCCAAGGCTACAAGCCCAGGGAGGGGCAGCGCTGAATCGGAACAGACACAGAGGACTCAAGGGCCAAGAGCAGCCACGCTGCCACGCGGGGCGCCCACCGCCACTGCTCACTGAAAGGCTCCCAGAACAAAGGACGCCGGCTGTGTCCCCGCTGTGTCGCCGATGAATTCTGCTTGGGGGACCTTGGGTACGGCCCCCACCTCATGGGTGGCCTTTCCTTGACCTCTGGGTTAGTTTTTCCCCCTTCTCCGGGAGAACTCAGGGGACAGGAATCATTTCTGTCTTTTCCTTTCAATACCGGCGTCGGTCAGCTGACGAGAGTCCTCCAGGGGATGAGAACTGGGGTTGGGCTCACCAAGGACAGAGGCCCTACCGGGAGCCCCTCCCAGCACAGGGCCCCTGAGCAGGTCTCCGGGACCCCCTCCCCCAGACTGCCGCCAGGAGGAGTCGCCCAGGGACTAACATCCCCGACGCCCCCGGCGGAGGGCAGCTGTGCCCACCTGGGTCACGCAGGCAGTCCTGAGACGCCGGACCCACGAGCCGGGACCCCACCCCGCGACCGCTTTCAGCCGGTTCCGGCCGGTTCGAGCCAGCCCCTCTCGGTCTCAGGCCCCGGCCCCGCGCACTCACCATCTCCGCGCCGCTCCGGGCTCTCGCACCGTCCTACCCGCGGCCCGGGCAGGTGAAAGCGACAGAGACCAGACACCCGGGGCCCCGCGGGGCAGGTGCTCACGAGCGCCACGGCCTGCAGGGAACGACGCGCACTGGGGCTGGAGCGCGCCAACCCCCGGCCCTGATTGGGCCGTGCTCCGGGCACTCCCTTCCAACGAGATCCTGATTGGAGAATGCTCCTCGCCCCGCCGCCCTGACTGGACAGCGCTGAAGGCATTCCTACTGCCCGAGCCCCTGAATGGGCGGTTTCCAGAGACCCGACCCTGGCGCCCCTGATTGGACAGTTCTCCGGACCCCGCCCTTGCGTGCCTGATTGTTCCCCGGACCCCGCCCCTGTCCCCTGATTGGACAGTCCTCACATGCTCGCCCCCTATTACTGAGTGACAGGCCTCTGGGACTCACGTAGCTGACCCGCCCGCTCCGGACGTGGGCTCCGAGCAGAACCCGCACCTGGCGGGAATGACCCGGCCCCCGCCCTCAGCTCGGCGGCCCTTCCTCGTCCTCCTCGTGGACCTGACTCAGTTTCCCGGAGGAGCGTCCCCTGTCCGGTGCCGGGACTGGAAGCAACGGGACGGGGCCAGGGGTGTCTAGCGACTTCCGGGGTCAGGGGTCTGCCTGGGGGCGAGGTCACCGTGAAAACGTGCCCTTTGTTTAACAACAAAGACGCACAGTGACGTCACACTCAAGTCAGGGTCTGGCTCGAGTTTGACGTGTGACCTTTGACACCGGGAGGCTCCGCCCCTGCCTCTGGGGTTTGAGGTCAGCGAGCCCCGGGACCTTTGACCCCGTGGGAAGTCGGACCTCGAGGCCCCAGCCTCCGTGCAGGCCTGGTCTCAGCACAGCTACAGGTGTGCGATGCCACAGTTCCCAGGTGTGCATTTTACAAGCGCGGAAATTCATGTCTGATTAGGTTTTTAGTCCATCCCCAGAGAATTCTGAAAATGAAAAAGTTCTCATACTGCGTAACAGTGTGAATGTACTTAATATCACGGAACTGTACTTTTTTAAATGGTTAAGAAGGTAAAATTCGTGTTATGTATATTCTGTCACAATATTTTTTTTTCACTCAATCAAGAAATACTGAGCACATGGGGCCTGCACAATATTTTTTAAAGGGTTTTATTTTTTCAAAGGCTATGATATCCCTGAAGCAATTGAATTCCCACGTTAGCTGATAAAAAACGACGACAAAAGCTTATATGAATTTGGGATGGACCTGAAGACTCTGAATACACTTAATGGAAGTGGGCTAAGCCCCTAATGCATTTAATATGCCTGCTTCTTTTAGAAAGCATGCTATCATTTGACACTGAGTGGATGCCCAAATTCTATCACATTTCATTTTATTTTAAAAATTCCTTTTTTGTGGTTTCCAGAAAGATTTTAGATGTTTTCATAAACAGTGTTTAGAAATGTAATATATTAAAAAGTTCAAGGCAAAAATAAATGACTCTTCGGATTTATAACCTATTAAAAATAAAAATATATGCTTTTAAAATATGGATTAATAATAAATCAGCATGGAGTTTAGAAGCCTGCCCTAAGACTGGGTCCTGGCCTAGACCTGGAGCACTCCTGTCTGGTATTTAGGCCTCGCTGGGAGGTTATTCCCGCATAGAGGTAACAAAGACGTTCTCAAATCCACAAGGCCTGAGAGGGACAGTGAGGAGCAAATTCTTCTCCCTCTTCCCGCCTTCCGTCCTCTCTCCCACTAGCCGAAGCTGCTGGCAAAGTAGAAAAGTGGTTTGCAGCATTTCGACCCACCTCACAAAGCAAATATCAAAGGGTAACTGTGATCAGCAGAATAAAGGCCCCCAAAGATATCCACATACTAATCACCAGGCCCTGCAGGTGGCAGAGGGATTTTGCAGGTAGGGTGAAGTTAAGGGATGGAAGTGTCATCAGAGGGTCCTTATCAGAGGGAGGCAGGAGGGTCAGAGTCAGAGAGAGCGGCCTGTGCTATTAATTAAAGCAGACAAAGAGATCACTTCAAAATGACAAAGGGTATAATTCACAACGAAGACCTGCCATGAATTATTTACCCCAAATAAAAGAAAACACAACGAAGTAGGAACAACAAAAAAGGTGAAGCAGAAACAGTGGACAGTAAGCCCTGAGGGAGATTAAGCACAACAGGAAATGGTAACAGTTCTCTTGAGCCCATTGTCTTAGTCAACAAACTGAGGACAGTGAAGGGTTGGCAGTTTCTCAAAGTGTGACTGAAAGAGATGGGGCAGCAGTGCAGCACCTGGTGAGCTACTTAAAAATGCATATTAATGGGCTCCAGGTCCCACTTACTAAGTCTGAACCCCCGGACAAGAAATTTGAGAACCACTGGTTAATAAGGTTGATGGAATAGACAGGTCAGGTTCCAAATCATAGAAGCAGAGAATTCAGCTTCTTCTTAAGATCTGCAAAATACTTATAAAACTCAATCACGTGGTAAACCACACAGCGAGTCTCAGTAAATTTCAGAGACTCAGAAGACTAGACACGCTCTCAGACCACAGCATAATAAAAGCAGAAGCTTCATAAATGAACCCTGATGAAAGGCATCTATGAAACCCTGCAGTGAACATCGTACTCCATGGTGTGAGACTGAATGCTTTAACCTTAAGGTCCGGGTCAGAGTAAGGAGGTCCGCTCTCAGCATTCCTACTCAACACTGCTGTGGGACAGAGCCAGTGCAATAGGACAAGAAAAAGAGTTTGTTTTTAAAGAGTGAGGAAAGGATATTTAAACCCCCAGAAGTGTAAAGAACACTTTTGAGTCAGAGAAATCGAAACACAAACTGTAAACATTTTTTTAAATGATCATAAAACCAAATGTGAACACAAAGCTAACAGAGGCTGTCCTCTGGCTAAATTCCTCACCTTGGATCCTCCAATGACTCGCCCCTCAAATGAAATATCAGGTTCTCAGAAAGGCCCTCCCTGAGTAACATCTGTCCCTGGCCCTCAAGCCCTCACAGGACTGGCTACGTAACATGCAGGGCTCACTGCAAAATTAAAATGGGGGGGTGTTGTTCAAAATGATTGAGAATGTGAAGACAGGTGCTGCAGAGTATTAAACCAATCACAGGACATTTCCAAGGCTAGAGCCTTGGGTGTCTACACAAATCCAATGCCCTTCACGGAGCTATCCCATTTCCTGACCACGGGACATTATCTTTAGCGAAGGCAGACACCTTCTCTGTCTTATCCACAGCCACCTGGCAAAACAAAGAATTCAGGGTTTCTATAAATAATTGTTGGAGGGAGGGAGGAGGTGATTAAGACTGAAAACTGGAAAGTAGTGCACTTAAGACATCTCTAATCCAAGGGTTCCTAAGAATATGATGAAGCCTAAAGATGCTTCCCCAGAAAATATATGTATGCCCCCAAACACATTTTGCATCCAGCTCACGGTTGTTTACACAGCCCTTAAACGTACCCATCAACCGAGTCAGTCCGCACAGACCCCAGCTGGGGGACCTCTACAGAAAGGCAAAGGTATTCACATTATCAGGTCCGACTCTGGTGAGAGGAGCTCTGACAGGCAACCTCTCTCACTAGCTCCAGGAAGGGGGGAAGGCTCCCACGAGAGTTGGTGACTTTTAAGGGGCGATCTGGAAAACCCAGCTCCCTCGTATCCCTCCTTGCAAACACGGCCTTGGCCTGGCATGGGTTGCTCAAGTTCCAGTCAAGATCCCACGACTTTCTAGTTGGGTGAATGCGGGCAAGATACCTTACTTTTCTTTCCGCTTCTGCAATGTGGGGACCTGAGTGGCTACTATTTCACAGGGCTGCTGAGAAGGTGAAATGAGGAAACACACACAGGTGCTAGAGTGGTGCCGGGAACACAGTCAACACCCAATACATGTTCATGAGTACGATGTACATCCACACTTTGGTCTCTACTCTGGCAAGTCCCCTCAGCACTGGGACTCTCCCCAGGCCGCCGAAGGTCACTTCACCTCTCCACGTGCTGAGATCTACCGCCCTGTCTCCTTGCCACACCCTGGTATCCACAATTCTTCCCAACTGTATCAATGACACTCGATAGCCCTTGGGGGCCATTTGTTTTTTACTTGTGGTCGAAATGCAATACCAAACAAAATGACAAAGGGCAGAAAAAATCACACATCACCAGAAGACCCTGACAAGGTAAGCACGGTCATTTCTCACATCCCCATCCAGCTTTTTCCCATGTATGTATGTATTTTGACTTCACTGGATATAATTACACATATTTTGCACTCTCTACTTTTCTCTCTGCATCCAAAGCAGTTTTTATCTCAGCACATGCTCTGCATTGCCATGGTGGTGCGTGAGACGAGTCAGGACTTACCCAAGTGACCAACAGGGGCAGAATGACTGAGCAAAATATTATTGAACATACTGAACAGATATTCAACAGATTCTTGAAACAAAAAGTTGAAACAGAATACCTTTGTTTGTATCACGAAATTAATGTGGAAAATCTCAGCAAAATCTCAATCCTTGTTAGCGTTTACCCATTTACCAATCTCTCCCAAGAGGGCGGAGCTCGTTGGGTTTAGCTCAATGGCAATTTCTCCCCATTAAAAGGTCCCTTTACAGCTCTGGACCTCAGGGCTTTCCTTCAAGAGTGTGGCATAAGCCTGCTTCTTCTCAAGCAGTACGTCACTGGGCAAAGTCTGAACGTACTTACATGGGAGAGTGCTAAGTACTTCACAAGGCAGCAGGCAAGCTCTAAAACCCAACGAGGTGGCTGCTCTGAGACAAAGCTTCCCCGTAATCAATTATCTTATGCGTTTTCTGGCTGGTGTGAGCTTTCTGGTGTGTGAGAAGGGAAGACCTCTGGCTGAAGGCTCTCCCACATTCACAACAGCGATACGGCTTCTCTCCAGTGTGGGTTCTCTCGTGCCGAACCAGGGAAGACCTCTGGCTGAAGGCCCTGCCACACCGGTCGCACTCATAGGGGTTTTCACCCGTGTGCGTCCTCTCATGTTGGTTGAGAGATGAACGGTCGCTGAAGGCCTTCCCACATCCATTACACTCATAGGGCTTCTCGCCTGTGTGCGTTCTCTTGTGTAGGATCAGGTAAGAGCTCTGGCAGAAGGACTTCCCACAGTCTTTGCATCCATAGGGCTTTTCCCCCGTGTGAATCCGCTGATGCTGGGTGAGGGACGAAATTCTGTTGAAGGCTTTCCCACACTCCCTGCAGGCGTAGGGTTTCTCTCCAGTGTGAGTTCTCAGGTGGCGAGTGAGGGTGGAGCTGTGCGTAAAGGCTCTCCCGCATTCCTGACACGCGTATGGTCTCTCTCCCGTGTGAATCCTCTGATGTTCACTCAGGGAATGTCTCCGGTTAAACAGCTTCCCACACTGCCGACACTCGTAGGGCTTCTCGGCTGTGTTAACGTTGCTGTGTGTGGTAAGGGCCCTGCCATGGAGAAGTGATTTCCCACCGTCTGCACGTGCGGAAGCTTTCCCCTCTGTTTGAGTTCTTCCATGTGGAATAAGGTGACTGTTTTGCCTGAGATCTTTTCCAAACGCATTCACACTTTCACCACGTCTCTGGTCTGTGTATCCCAACTGATGATGGTTTAACAATGGATCAGACACCAAACTCTCAACAGCTAAGTCACCATCATGGAAATGTCTTTCTATAGAACCTCCCTGTGATATAACTAGCTCTGAGCTCGGATTGCAGTGTTCCCCAAATTCATACCAGGCAGTAGCCTTCTCTTGAGCAAATGCCTCTACCTGGATGTACCCCATTTGCCTCAAAAGCCTCTGGGGGTCTTCATGTATCTCTTCAAGTTGACCACATCCCTGGTCTTCTCTGGGGAGCTTTATAATATTCGTATCACCAGGTGGTTCTTCTGCCAAAACCAGCTTCTTATAAACTGACTGTTGGCTTTCCAGTTTAGTCTCCCAACCTGAAATAAATTGAAGGGCGGGGGAAGAAAGAAACTTCTAACTTAAGAACGGTGGCATGAAAGGATTTCTAAGATGTACAAGGCACATGTGGATTCATGTTCAAACGTCAGCTTTGAACACGGGGGAAGGCTAGGCGAAGGGAAGATGGGTCAGTCTGCTGGGTAGGGGGTGGAGACATAGAAGGAACTTCTCTAGAAAGAAGGGGGAATTAAAATGGGAGAGAAGAAGAATTATCAGGGAAGCAGAGAGTGGAGAGATGTAACAGAAACACAGGCAGAATGGCTTCCAGAAGGACATGGGATGTTATTTTTTTCTGTACCCAAAGTGGGGTAGTAGACGCTGGTTTATGGAAGGAGAAAGGGGCTGGAGGATGAGCTGAAGGTACGGGGGCAAGTACAGCCAAGGAGCTCAGCCTTCTCCAACGAGGGCCTCTGTGGGGGGTCTCTGGCCAACAGTCCCCGGGCAGCTGCCCCCGCCCCAGTGGCTCAGATCTGCCCGGTTCTTACCCGAACAAGAAGCCTGGGGAGCTCCTTTCCCCGCCACGCACATGGCTTCTCCTCGAGCCCGGGGGAAAGGCAGCGCTGGAGGAACGCGGGAGCATGCCGTCGGCGGACAGGGACTGCTGACCGGAG